GGAGTCCTCCTGACCCACTGCCTCCAGGGACCACCCTCACCTGTGGTGTGATGCCAGCAGCCAGCAGTGCATCTATTAATCGAACATAGTAGTTGAGGCCTGCTTCATTGATGAACCTGGTGGTTCCGTCTGGGAGGACTCGAGGCCAGGAGATGGAGAATCGATAGTGGGACACACCCAGGTTCTGAAGGGCCACCACGTCCTCATCAATCTTGTGGTAACTGTCGCAGGTAACATCTCCATTGTCATTATTTCCAATCCTCAGTGGGGTGTGGGAAAATGTGTCCCAAATACTGAGTCCTTTGCCATCAGCTCTCCAGGCTCCTTCGATCTCAAGATGACAAGAGGTAGTCTAAGCCACTGACCAAATACATTCCCTTCTGCAGCTCCCTGGGGAGCCTTCTCTGCACACCCTGCACCCAGTTACTAAAGTTGCCCTGCACATATGGTGGCATCACTCTGCACTCTGCTCCCATGCTGGTTTCCCATACCACCATGCAGTGTAGGCACTTGTATGTGTGTGTGTGTGCATGCTTGAGTGCATCCATGTACATGAAAGAGAGACAAAAACAGAGAACCTCACATGGCCTAGGCTGACTTTGAACTCTCATGTAACAAAGGAACCGAGTACTCTACTGAGTCACATCCCCAGTTCCAAGAATGGGTATCACATTTTAGTTTACCAATCAATGCTGGCAGTGGGGTCTGGCATATCGTGGGTACTCACCAAAGGTGCTGAGTGAACAATTTCACATCCGATACTACTTTAACTACAGCCAAGCTAACTGCAAGGATACTGATATGGAGAAAGTGTTTGTAGTCCAGATGTACATGGCTATTTCTATGCCTTCCTCCTCCTCTCTAACTCCTTTCCAATAAGACTTTGGAGAACGCCCGTCTGTGGTGGTCAATGGGTAATAAGTACCACATCTGTATTTCACTTTCGAACATTTCAACACATATGGTGGGACACCAAATATGGTGTCACTGCTGAGATGGTGTTGGCATTCTAGCTAATAATGCACATCCAGTGCTGGCTGGGAGAGGGCGGAGTGGAGCCAGCAGGAAACCGCCATAGGAACCATGTGTGTGGAGGTGGAAGAGGCCAGGCCCAAAGGGAGCAGCCTAGGCTACCAGGAGCTAGATTTATATATATATATATATACACACACACACATTAGTACAGAGAGTTCTTCACTGGAGAAAGGAGATGCAAATATGAAAATGAAAGGGCTAGCATTTTCCTATAGATTTGAGCTGGATATATGGATATAAACTCCTGGCTTTAAAGACACAAAGTGTGGGGCTGGAGGATGTGGAGAAGTTAGATGAGGCACTGATTGCCATGCATGAGGCCCTGGGCTCCATCCCCAGCACTGTGTGTGCTGAGAGTATTTAGGCATGCTGGTAAGCCTAATATTTGGATAGTATAGGCAGGGGGATCAAAAGTTCAAGGTCATCTTGGGCTACAGAGTGAGTTGGTTTACACAAGACCCTGTCTCCTGTATAATTAATTAAGGAATGCAAAGTGGGGAGGCTGAAGGGTAAAACGACAGAAATGTCTGTGTGGGAACATCCACGTGCTGTGCAGTTCTGACTACTCAGAGGACCTACAAGTTGTGACACTCCAGGGGCAGTCAGGACACCAGAGGACAATTGTTGGCTGCTGTGTAAAACAGCTGGGTCTCACCAGAGAAATGGCCGCTTAACAGCTGGGGAGAAAGAGGAACAGAGGAGCCCACTGTGCACAAAGGGATAGGAAGTCAGACTGGGGTGAGACTCAACTGGTCGAGGCTTGTCTAGGATGTGTGGACCCCAGGCTATCCCATGCCAGCACAGAGAAACCAGGCCTAGGGCTGCACACCTGTAACCCCAGCATTAGAGGAAATGGAGGCAGAATGGTCAAGATTCCAAGAATATGGGGTGCTCAGCAAATTTAAGGCCAGCCTGAACTGTATGAGACCCTGTCTTAAAAAAAAAAAAAAGGAAATAGTGGAGGAGTAATGGAGGAAGGTCATTGGTAAAAAATAAAGAAACTGCTTGGCCCTCATAGGTTAGAACATAGGTGGGTGGAGTAAACAGAACAGAATGCTGGGAGGAAGAGGAAATGAGCTCAGACGCCATGCTCCCCTCTCCTGGGCAGATGCGATGAAGTTCCAACCCAGGATGGACGTAGGCTATAATCTTCCCGGTAAGCGCACCTTGGGGTGCTACACACATTATTAGAAATGGGCTAGTCCAGGTGCAAGAGTTAGCCAAGAAGAGGCTAGATATAATGGGCCATGCAGTGTTTAAAAGAATACAATTTGTGTGTTGTTATTTCAGGGCATAAGCTAGCCAAGCGGCCAGGAGCCGGGCTGTGGGAAGAGGCCCACAGCTCTTACAACAGAATGGCGCTCAACGTGGGGCAGCAATTTCTTGGGTCTGCTCTGCTTGCTAGAAGCAATCAAGCACTCTCATCTAAGAGAGGCTTCCTGACTCAGCTTTAGCTGCAAAGCTTGCAGCTCTCTTAAGAGGTCCTGCCACAAAACACTTAAATGGTGTTGATAAAAGCTGACTGCATGCTTGTTTTCAGTCATGACAGGAAAAAAGCTGCGCCGTTTAAAAATGCTGGCTTTCTGGGCCGTCCTGCCAGGACAAACTCTGACTGTTTGAGGCAGGAGGGCCAACTACAGAGAGAGGACTTGAATGTTGTTTGTGGACATAATGTTGCAGCTTACTTGCTGGCAGGGACCTTGAAACGCCATAGACTTGTGGCAATAAACGTGGCTATAGCCAGTACCTCAGCCATGAGGCTGAAAAGCTAAGAAATGGGCTGGATCCAGCCGTCAAAGCCACGGCTTTAGTCCTACTGACATTACTTGGTAAATTAAAGGCTCATGTGGTCAAAAAAAGAGATACAGTAAAAAAAAAATAAAAAAAAACCTTTAAATGATTTACAGTGTGTTAAAAATATATACATGCTAAAAGTTAAAGGTCTTAAATTAAAAAAAAAAAG